GACTCAACTTCCGAAGCCGCACGGAACGTTGTTCCCTTCCCACCAAAGGTGGTTCCTATTTTTCTACTTGCATTTTTCATGTGCTTTCGAACGGCTAGGTTGGCAGAAGCTGGGACAAGTCACGGGAGCTCATTCCGTTATGTGGTGCTGGGGATTCGAACCGCTGAACTGCCGACCTTTCTGATCGACAAGCTCAGCATCTTAGCCACTGAGCCACTGCGTCCCTAGAAAGGTTGTAAAATGAGGCAAAACTCACTTAACTGCCTTGCTCAACAGTGGAAATTTGGAACTCGATTGTGGTGATAAGGCGAGGAAAAAATTCCAGCTTTGGAGCGATGGTCCCAGTATGGATTCCCAGTTGCTTTACAGAATGCAAATCACATTAAAATTTAAAGTGAATTAACTTCTCCCCGTCCCAATTCCAAAGAAAGAACAAAACAGTGAAGGAGAAAAAAAGGGGGGGAAATAATAGAAACAGAATAAAAAAATAAATCCAGAGCAAGACAGAGAGTCCCCGACTTACGACCACAATTGGGCCCAAATTTTCTGTTTTTAAGCGAGACATTTATGAAGAGGGTTTCGCCCCCATTTTACGACCTTTCTTGCCATACGTTGTTAAGTGAATCCCTGCTTGTTGAGTGGATTTGGCTTCCCCTTTGTCAGAAAGTCGCAAAAATGGATCGCGTGACACCCCCCCCCATGAGTCATGGGAGCTCATTCCGTTACGCGGCGCTAGGGATTTGAACCGCCGAACTGCTGACCTTTCTGATTGACAAGATCAGCGTCTTAGCCACTGAGCCACCACGTCCCTTCGTTAGACGAGACATACCCAATTCCTGCAACCGTTCTTCGTACCTTTTAGGCTTCCAATATTAATAGGCCGGGCTTGGGAAGCTTCCGTTAACACGGGATATAAGTCCGAATAAAGTCCAGCCTGCAATAAGTTGTAAACTCACCTTGTCTGAAATCTTGATAAAAAGACTGAATCCCTCCGATGATTTCAAGAGGAGCCGTTTGGAGATGCTTTGACAGAAATCCTTGGCTTTCGTGCCCGATTCCACTTCAAAAGCCTGGTGAAAGAAGAAAGAAGAAGAAGGTGGATGGATGGAAGGGAGAGAAAGAGAAGGAGAGAGGGTAGGAAGGAGAAGAAAGAGGGTAGGAGTAGGGAAGAGGTAAGAGAAGGAAGAAGGGGATGGAGAGGAGGAAGGAAGGAAGTAGAGAAGGAAGGGAGGGAGAAAAGAAAAGAAAGAGAAAGTAAGGTGAGATGTGGAGGAGAGGTAGGGGAAGAAAGAGGTAAGGAGAGGTGGGTGGGAGGGAGAGAAAGAGAAGAAGAGGAGGAAGAGAGAGAAAGAGAAGGAGAGAGGGTAGGAAGGAGAAGAAAGAGGGTAGGGAGTAGGGGAGAGTTAAGGGAAGGAAGGGGATGGAGAGGAGGAAGGAAGGAAGTAGAGAAGGAAGGGAGGGAGAAAAGAAAAGAAAGAGAAAGTAAGGTGAGATGTGGAGGAGAGGTAGGGGAAGAAAGAGGTAAGGAGAGGTGGGTGGGAGGGAGAGAAAGAGAAGAAGAGGAGGAAGAGAGAAAGAGAAGGAGAGAGAGAGTAGGAAAGAGAAGAAAGAGGGTAGGGGAGTAGGGGAGAGTTAAGGGAAGGAAGGGGATGGAGAGGAGGAAGGAAGGAAGTAGAGAAGGAAGGGAGGGAGAAAAGAAAAGAAAGAGAAAATAAGGTGGTGTCATAGCAGGTGCGAAGGCTGGTAAACAAAGCATTCCAAACTATACCTTATAACCTTTTAAATGGAATAATAATAATATAAGAATGGCAAAGAAAAAGAATAACTATGTGAATGTATACCTACAACTGTATGTAAGAGAATAAATGATAGTAAAAATATAAAGCACAATATAGGTAAATAATATCTGGTCATAAGTAGCTAAGTATAAATAAATAAAGAATTGTACATAAAAATGGATAACGAATAAGGAGACCATGAAAGCAAGATAGAAATGTATAGAAGGGAAAAAACTAACTGTAAAGAAACCGATTCGGAACTGCGGTATGATATACGATGGAACTTATTGTTCCTATGTTGTTTTTAAGTCATGTGTTTGTTTCTGTTGATGTGCTTATGTGTTTAAAATAAAAATTTATTGAAAGAAAGAAAGAAAGAAAGAAAGAAAGAAAGAAAGAAAGAAAGAAAGAAAGAAAGAAAGAAAGAAAGAAGAAACCTAGTTTCATACAAGCTGAGTTCACCTCTTGGGCCAAACTAGGGTTTAAACATGGCTTACTCAATTCATTATAAATCAGTTGGCTGGGTGAGCCCAGCTGCGTGGTTAGAAGACACTTGGCCGAACTAAATAAACCATGATGGTTTAATGCGACGCATTAACTCTGATAGCAGGAAATCTTCAAGCCAGCTTGGCCTCTGAAAGTGGCAGCTGTGTTTAAAAGTAGTCCTAGAGTTACAACCACTTGTTTAACAACCGTTTCTAGTTGCGATGGCACTGAAAGAAATGATTGAAGGCCGGTCTTCACACTTACGACCAATGCAACGTCCTCAGGTCACGTGATCACCATTTACCGCCTTCCCAGGTGGTTTCCGACAAGCAAAGTCAAAGCGGGGTGGAGGGGGGGATCTGGATTTGCTTAACGACCATATGAGTCACTTAGGGAGTGCACTGATTTGCTTAACAACCTTGGGAAGGAAGGGCCTGAAATTGGGCGCGCCATGTTTAATATTCGCCTTGCTTGGCAGAAACAGAAATTCTCGTCCCAATTGGGGTCGTAAGTTGAGGAATACCTGCGTTTATGGGTTACAGGTAGTTCTCGATTTACAACAGCTGATGTGACTTATGACCCTTTTTTTCACACTTACAACTGCTGCAGCATCTCCATGGCCACATGATCAAAATTCAGACACTGACTCATATTTATGGCGGTTGAGGTGTCCTAGAGTGATCCCCTTTCTTCTCACAAGCAAATGAGAAAGCCAGATTCACTTAACAACCGGCTTGCTAACTTATCAACTGCAGCGATTCACTTAACAACCAGGTCATTAACAACAGGTACAGCGATTCACTTAACAACCAGGTTATTAACAGATGCAATGATTCACTTAACAACCGGGTCATTAACTTATCAATTGCTGATTCACTTAACAACCAGGTCATTAACAACAGGTGCAGTGATTCACTTAAGAACCAGGTTATTAACAGGTGCAATGATTCACTTAACAACCAGGTCCCTAATTTATCAATTGCTGTGATTCACTTAACAACCAGGTCATTAACAACAGGTGCAGTGATTCACTTAAGAACCAGGTTATTAACTTAACAGGTGCAATGATTCACTTAACAACCGGGTTCCTAACTTATCAATTTCTGTGAGTCACTTAACAACCAGGTTATTAACTGAATAGGTGCAGTGATTCACTTAGCAACTGGACTACTAACTTATCAACTGTAGCGATTCACTTAACAACAATGGCAAGAAAGGTTGTAAAACGGGGCAAAACTCACTAAACAAATGTTCCACTTAATAACAGCAAATGTTGGGCTCCGTTGTGGTTGTAAGGCGAGGACGACCTGTATTTCCTTAACCAAAGGGACCCAGGCTGGACTCTTCCTATTGATCAGGCCAAGAGTTTTTGATTTTACCTCATCGGTGTCATCCGGGAAATAGACTTTATGGAAAATCTGCGTCGTTTTATGCTGAATGGCCTCCACTTCCACCAAATGGGGAGGGTATTTTCGGGACCCGTTCCTACAAGAGACAATGTTAAAGGTTAAATGGATCGTTGTCTTCAAAGAGGAGAATATATTTATGTTTGTTTTTTTTAATTTGGATCTTGCTTCGGGATTTGGTGCTAGTGTTGAAAAAAAGAAATGTTGACTTTGGGTTCTGCAGATGAGATGGATTCCTTGTTGTAGAAATGGCTAGTTATATACTCGGGGTAGGGCCTTCTCTGTACTGCTCCGGCCCTGTGGAACGACCTACACAGCCAAGGTGGCGCAGTGGTTAAATGCAGCACTGCAGGCTACTGCTAGATCAGCAGTTCAGCGGTTCAACACTAG